GCCATGTTCTTTTTAGAGAGAAGAGGCTTTCTCCTGGCAACCTTCCAAACAAACCATACTTGTTTAGTCTTTTTCTAATTGTACTGTCATGAACATTAAGATTTAACATGCTAACTGAGGCCTGTAGAGTTTGAGATGTAACTTGGATTTTTTGCAATTTCTCTGAGCATTGCATGGTCTGACCTTGGGGTGAATTTGCTGGGATGTCCATTCCTGGGAAGATTGGCAACTGTCTTGAATGTTTTCCACTTGTGAATAATTTTCTTCAATGTAGAATGATGGACTTTAAATTGTTTGGACACGGCCTTATAACCCTTCCCAGACTGATGGGCAGCAACAGTTGCTTCTCTAAGATCATTGCTGATGTCTTTACTCTTTGACATTGTGTTAATACACACTTCAATGCTCAAGACCAGCAAACTCCTAAAACTTTGGATGTTATAGAGGTAATCACGCTTGCTGATGATCAACTGATCAAGGACATTTGATTAGCACCACCTGGCTGCTACTTAGCCTCTTCATACCCATGTAAGCAGTAAGGGTGCACTTAGTTTTTCACACATGGTTCCTCCATTTTGGCTTTCTTTTTGTAAAATAAATGATGACATGGTGTAATATGTCATGTGTTGTTGTTCATCTGAAGTTGTATTTACCTACTTTTGAGAACTGCTAAGGACCAGATAATTTTTATTATGTCCTGATACATAAAACTATAGAACTCAAAGAGGGTGTACTTTCTTTGTCACACGACTGTAATTCCTTATGCTTATAGAAAAAGCTCACCACACCACAAAAGCTAAATAAATCTTTATGTAAATGTATTAATAATTTGGGGAAAGAGAAAGATATTCTACATAAAAATGTACCACCATTCTAGAGGCAAGGTTCCATATAAATGACATATTTATTTATTAAACATATTACACTACTGATTAAGATCTCAATGAAGGTGTGATTAACACCACAGTGGAGTTGTTAAAAATGCAACTGAAATGCTACAATAAATCCAATCCGATGAAAAGGAATCAAGATGAAAATTGTAATCCAAAAGCAACAACAAACTCAAAACTGTTATGCTTTTTCTGCCAAATAGAACCCACTTACGATCTGATGCAATCTTTTCAGTACCATCTAAAGGATTAATAATCCCCGGGATGAGCTCTCCAAAAGACAAATGATCTATCCTATGGGAAAAGTTGTATGCTAGAAAAAACAACAGAAGTCACCAGGTTAATACTGTGATTTAGCTATAGGGACAATATGTATATAGGTAGTCCTTGATTTACGACCATTTGTTTAGCGACTGTTCGAAGTTATGATGGTGCTGAAAAAAATGACTTACAACTGGTCCTCACACTTACGACCGTCTCCACGGTCACATGATCAAAATTCTGGTGTTTGACAACCAGTATGTATTTACGATGGTTGCAGCTTCCTGGGGTCACATGATCGCCATTTGCGACCTTCCCAGCTAGTTTCCAACAAGCAAAATCAATGGGGAACTGTATGATTCATTTAATAACCATGTGATTCACTTAACGACCACTGCAAAAAATGTGGTAAAGTTGGGCACGGTCATGGTGCCTCGCTTAATGACTGCACTGCTTAATGATGAATTTTCTGAACCCTAATGTCCTAAGTCAAGGACTACCTGTAATTCAGTTTCAACTCAAGGCAAACTAAAAGCTTCACTCTTGTACACCAATCAAGCTGTATTACTTCGCAAGGCTTGTAGATTAAATTACTATGTCTTTTAACAACTTCAATTACTTTTTAAATGGCAAATCAAAATAGAGAATGAAATCTAATCATCTATGTCCATTGCATCCCATTTTCCTTCTAACACCCTAATGGCACTTTGAAATCTGCTCCAGGGGATCAGAGCTCTTGGAGCACATCTGGGAGAGGGGGCAGAAGATATTATAGGAGGAAGAAGATATGAAACATCTGTTGTATGACTGGAAGTCTGCTCATGCAATGCTGGAAACAGCCTGTGGAGTAGGAATGATAACAACAACAAGAAGAAGTTGGCTATCTTTTGCAAGCTAGCTTATAAAATTGTGAAGAGTCATAGCCTATTATCTTGTACAGCAGCAGTTATCAGAAACACTGGGGGAAATTCTTTATAAACGTTGCCAATCAATTTCATAAAAATAGAAGCACTCCAGTCACCACATTTCTGGATATTCTGTGGGGCACTTCAGTCCCATGATAGCAGCAGCAGGACTGCAACTGTAAAATGCCTGCAACCACCTCTTTATTTCTCTGATCCTTTTCTCTCGCTCCCCACTCTATCCGGTATCAGGCTTCTGGATGACTGCCTTCAAAGCAGACTCAAGAACTGAAGAGAAGACTTTGCACTTTTTTAACCCAGTGAACAGCAGTTGCACCCACAAGATAGTGGGGCCAGGTTCTACCTAACACTCGGTCATGCTGTGTTGCATTCTCTGTTTTTTGCTTTGGATCTAGCATGGAAACCCTCAATGGCTTGTTAAGATCTACAATCCAAGCCGCTAAGATTGGCTCAACAAAATACCATGCTCCAGCGTTTTGTGAGAAAGCAGACAGTTGCTGGAGAAAAAACATCCTGGAAAACATTTACACGTGAGCCAGAGATAAGGAGAAGGGTGTTGTTCTCCTTCGGCTCAACCACGCTGCAAAATCTAGTTGCAGCTATAGGGGCAAATTGCTTTAAACACACATTCAGAGGCAGGCTGCTCTTTCCAAATATCTCACACGCTGGACAAATTATTTTGGCAAGGGGAAAAGAATATGTCTAGATATATTTGTCCCAAACACCCTGCAACAGATAACCCTTCGGGGCAAAGAATCAGAGATGGCTTACATTCATGACTCACAAGGGCTGCCAAATGCGCGTGGCCCCTTGGGTGGGGAATTGCCCTAGAAAGAAAGAAAGGAAGGGAGAGAGAAAGAAAGAAAAGGGTTGTTTCAGAATTCAAGAATGCTGTAAAAGAGCAGACTTAAACAAGGAATGTATACATTTTTCCAAGGATACCACGGATTACAAGAATGCCCACTTTTACAGGCAGACTCCCAAATAAGCATACACAGGGTTGGGTTATTGGTCTGAGACTTGAGAAAAGGGCATCCAGCAACTGGGAAGAAAGGGTGTGTTGGTTTATAGTGTTTCAGTAAATGAAAGGAACATACTTGCCCACTGTAACGTGAAAGTTGCCTGCGACTTTATTCACATAGAGATGCCCGTGAATTCTGCAGGCATCTGCAGATTGGACAGGCTTGTCTTCCCTGTGCAGAGAAAAAAAAAAGTACAATTCTTGAAAGCAGTACTTCACACGACTGACATGGCATCACCTGACAGGCCATTCTAAGTACCGTAAAGTACAAGCTCTTGGAAAACGTAGATTATTTATTGCCCACAGGCTGATTTGTAATGGTCTCCAAAGACCACAGAAGTAAATACAAGCTTACAATGAACCCTTAGCACATTATATTGTTCCATTTCAGTAAGAAGCAGTTACATGCATTAACTCAACTTTGAAATTTAGTATTTTCAGTTCTGGATAAAGAAAATGGACTTAAAGTTAAGAGACTTACTGTTCAGTATTGGAAAGACAAACATATGGCCCCAACTATTCAGCAGTTTGTAGAATTAATATAGATCAGCTATAATAAATCATGGCTTCGGTGTATTGATGTCTGTAAATACAGGTAGTCCTTGGGTTATGACGGCAATTGAGACCGGGACTGCTATTGCTAAGCAATGCAGTCATAAAGCGTGACATCATGTGACCACATAGCTTAGCGATGGCAATCCCAGGGAGTCCCAGTTGCCATCAAAACCCCAAGACGCGTGGGTCATTAAGCGGGAAGTGGAGGGAGTTCCAGGCAAGGAACGCGGGGGTGCCACAGTGGGGGGAGGACCTGGGAGGGCCAGCGGAGGCTGCGTGCAGGCAGGGGAGGTGTTGCTGTAGGCGGGAGTAAAAGTGGCAGCAACTTACCAGAGTGACTTGCAACCTTCCCTGCCGGCTTCCCCATTGGCTTTGCTTGTGGGAAGCTGGTAGGGAAGGTCGCAAATGGTGATCATGTGACTTTGGCTCTCTGTGATGCCATAATTGCGAGCTGGGCACCTGAGTGCCTGGATAGTGATGACATGACTGCAGGGTGCTGTGATGGCCAGACTTTTGAGGACCAGTCGTACATACATTTTTTCAGTGTTGCCGTAACTCTGAATGGTCACTGAACAAATGGACGTAAGCCGAGGACTACCTGTATATGTCTTGTATGCTTTTTTTCCCAGCTTTTTTTTCTTGTTTTATAATTTTGTGTATTAAAAACTCTCACAAAAAAGAGAAAGCTTAGCATGTTGATTCTAAAAATATGTTCATTTATGGCCTTTATTTCTGAATTGGCATGTTTTGGATTACATTAATTTTTTTTCATTAATATTTTTTTCCCTCACATGTCAAGGAGACACGGAAGGCACTCTCTCACCTTGGTGGCAGTGCTGTTGAAGCACTTTTAAAAGCACTTTTGAATATTATGTCTTGAAGAGAGTGTTCTTCCTGCAGCCGAGTCTGAATATTTTGCAGCATCCTAGAAGTAAAGCGAATGACGAAGAGTCAGCGCAGCACTTCCAACTACAGGGAAACATCTCCACAATAAAACAGTGTTAGTAGTCAATACTGCAGAGCTAAGGCTCATCAAGGGGCAGAGGATGATTTAAACCAGGGTTTCTCAACCTTGGCAACTTTAAGACGTGTGGATTTCAATTCCCAGAATTCTCCAGCCGGCATGCTGGAGAATTCTGGGAATTGAAGTCCACATGTCTTACAGTCACCAAGGTTGAGAAACACTGATATAAGTACTTGGTCAGTTTAATGTTGGAATAAAGTGGTCCTGGATGGACAGTCCAAAACAACCAAGCCTGTTAAGAGCAGCACCTCAAAACAGACTTAGAAATAGACTGCAAAACCCCCTAACACCCAATAGGGACCAATCAATCACTTAGAACCCGTACCATGGACCAGCAGAATCTTCTAAGTAGTTTACAGAACTGTGAAAACTAGGCCTCTGACAAGAAGCTTGTGGAGAAAATCTAAAATATGTTCTATGGGGTTAAAATAGGTTCTAGCGATCTTGCCTATCCCATCTTTCTTCACGTGTTGCTACTACTTCCTTGAAAATCCCTTTGGAATATAGCAAGAAGACTGTATATTCCTCCAAATTAACTGTGGAAAACCAAGTCCCACTTGTGTCTCTGCCTCTATAGATTAAGCTTCAGAGAGCTTCAGGACTTTGGCGATTAGCCCTAATTTGTTAAGATAAGAAGAAAGGAAGCAATAGGCAAGTTATATGGATGGGATCAAACAGATTATAGGGCTGTCTGGCCCTTTCCAACCTCCAGGCATTGGGACAGGACATCAACAGCATCTCTCTTAAAGCCGAAGTGGCAATAAAGGTGGGTGTCATTAGCAAACTGATAACTGCTGTCCCTCCCAACTGCTGGATGGCCTCTCCCAATAGTTTCATATGTGTGTTAAAGAGCAGAGGGACAGAGGACGCATCCTGGCATCATCCTATATATCTGGGGCCACTGGGCTGACCTCTCATCCCCACCAAGACAAACTGAAACCACCCACTGAGTAAGCAAACAGTGCCTCCAATCCCAACTTCTGTAGGCAAGTCAGTAGTATTGAAAACCACTGAAATGTCTAAAAGTATAGTACCCTCATCCTTGTCTTGACACAGATCATCCAAAAAACCATGCAATGCTGCCTCAGTCCCATGTCTGGGCATGAACCCTGACTGAGAAGAGTCCAGATAATCCACTCTTTCTAGGGTACTGTGAAATTGGTCCTCCACTACTGACTCAACAAATTTCCCCCAAAAGGTGAAGTTGGAGACTGGACAATAATTATTTAAGACCCCTGGATTTAGTGACCAGAAGTAACACAATTTGAATGTCACTAAATTATCCACTTTTTGTCCCGATCCTACCCCGTTTTGGAGGGCAACCTTGTTTGAACTCCAAATGAACTTGACAATCCATAGCTAAGAATTGACTTTCAGAATGAGTCACACAGAAAAAAGGATTGTGATATTTATCTTATGTAACTACAAAACTAGCTAAAAAGTCTGAACACTAAAAAGCCACAAGTGAGGTAGTTTACATCACCATTTATTCAGCAATGAGTTTATAACACTGAAAATGCAGAAATAAAGTACCTGCATCAGTGCTTCAGTTTTATATAGATACCAAATTGAACAAATATGGAAGCATACACAAATTATCCACATTAGTTTATATTACTTTTGAATTATTACCTTTGCCACTCTCTTTGCATGGGACTGAGTTCAAATATTACCTAAAACAAAAATAAATGATCAAAGTTTAGACAAATACTGTGTTTCTCAAAAACATTCTTTACCTCCAAGTCTAAGAAAGCTGCACAAAAAGATAATTCAGTATGTTAACCAGTTTGGTGTAGTGGTTAAGGCACCAACGTGTAGTGGTTAAGGTACCAGACTAGAACCCGGGTGACCATGAGTCCTAGTCCTGCCTGATGCACAAAGCCAACTGGGTGGCCTTGGGCCAGTCACTCTCTCTCAGCCCTAGGATGGAGGTAATGGCAAACCACTTCCAAATCTTGCCAAGCAAACTGCAGGGACTTGCCCAGGTAGTCACCAGGAGTCAGGACTGATTTGAAGGCATAAAATAATAATAATACTCATCCCAACTGGTTTTGATACTGCTGGTTACTGTGGACAGAAATGCCATAGATGATACAAAGGAGCTACTTGAAACTGAAGAAATAATTTAGCAATTGAGCACCTATTAACTGATAAACCTAAATGATTCAAAAATTATTTTATGCTTTGTCCTTTTGTTTATTTTCCATTTATGTTCGGCTGGAGAAGTGAAACTTGATTAACCATCACTGCAACACCATTTATTTTGGGTGCTAACCGTTGTCCTATCATCACTATACTGTGACAACTTTGGCAACAGAAGCCACTGCGGTTAGATAAGTGTGAAGTGGACACAGCAGTTTGGATTCCATGTTATTTCATAGAAGAAAAGTGTCTTGCTTCCTTCATGGCAGAATACAGAAAATATTAGGTTCCATATCTAGGGCTTGAAAGGAAAGTGGCATTCACCTACTTGCCTCCACTCTTTGCTACTCTTGATCTTCCCTTTGCTCCCCCACTTGGACTGTAAGATCTTTGGAACAGAAATCCATCTTCTGCTTATGTTGCTCGCTAGAGATACCATTTGCTCACAACTCTACATGGCATTTCATAGATATCATGATTACTGGTGTGAACTCCAGTCCTATCTTCTGCTACAGTGGATACCCAGCCAGGTCCAGGGTGGGATGAATAGTTTTGATGTTCTCCACCATTGGAATACATAGCAAGCCAGGGGTAATTGGACCTTTCACAAAGAAAATGAAGTCCACTTACTGGTTCGTAGACTAATCCATCTGCCGCAGCAACCATAGTTTCTGCTAAATCCAGCACATCAGCACCAATGTCTGTTTCAAAAGTTGAAAAGGACAGATAAGAAGTTTGTAAAATGCGATGTAACCTGTTTTTTTAACATCAGTCATAAAAAAAATGGAACTGGTTGATTCCATCTGTTCCTTTTATCAAGGTCTAATTTATTACAGCAGCCTTCATCTCTACACAGGTGGAAACCTGTGAAACATGAGTGTTTTAACCCAACCAACCGCAGCACCTCAAAAACACACGGAATTTACAAATCACATTTTCTTCCTAATGAGGACTACAGAAATATTGCAGCTTCTTCTGACACAGCAACAAGTTCTACCGCTTGTTAAAACACTGATGATTAGTACTGTAAATAAGGATGGTAATTTTCAAGATGCGTTAGTTGGTAAAAGGACTGGCAGAGACTAATGGATGCCATTATTTCAAAGCCTTTTGCTGAATATTCGTTCCAATTTGCATCTTGCTTCTCTCTTTTTTTCCCTTGTCTTTTTTGTACTATCCAATGTGATTTAAAAAAAAAAAAGACAAAAAGGAATGTGGCCATCTCACTTTCCAGCTTTAAAATAAATATCACAGTAACGACAGCATGAAGAAAAGAATTTGCAATACTGTTTTCCAAAGAGATAAACATGTTTATCTTTTCCAGAGCGAGAGGGAGTGAGAAAGAGAAAGCAAAGGTGGGGAGAGAGAGATCTGTGGTTTTCTTGGGATTAATCAATTTTAATTTAAACAAGCCCAAATCAGATAAACGGAGTAAACACCCATACAACTGTATAAACTTATACATCTTGTTCAAAGGAATTTACATCATCTGCTTCACAAAACAGAGCCAATCTCCAAAAACTTGTGCTACTATAACATTGGTCTTAAAGATGCTACAAATTCTTATTTTACTTTGCCATAGTTATTACCTGGTTACCAAAAGAAGTTGTATGCGTCCTGCAAGGCTCATGATTACCTAGCAAAAGTGACTTTAATGCCCAATACAAGTGAAGAAAGATTTACACTACTGAGAAAGCAAATACAGTGGTACCTCGGTTCATGAACACTTCTGTTCACGAACAATTCGGTTCACGAACAGCTCCGGCCACAAAATTTTGCCTCCGTTCGCGAACGCCGGATCGGGTTACGAACAGGATCCGTGGCCATTTTCCCTCCCGTGACACGTGGTCGCGGCTTCCTGTAGGGAGGGGGGCTCTCCTTCCAAGCAATATCCGCCTCCCCACCCGCCTTCTTGTCCTCCATGCCAGAAGTCGCGTCGAGCAAGGTTAGCTTTCTCTCTCTTCGTGCTGTACTTTGTGTCATATTTTTGCGGTTTTTAAAAAAAAGCCCATATGGTTCAGAAAGGATTAACCGTAATTACATTGAACCTTATGGGGAAATTTGATTCGGGATGCGATCAAAAAT